ATTTTTTGATAATTCAGTGAGGATAATAAGTCTTTACCCATTTTTTAAATCATTAGTGGTTTTTTAATGTGTTAGGTGAGAATGGAATACTACACTTTTAGCTGTAGCACAAGTGGTGGTGCTACCACCCCAACCCCAACCGCATTCTCAATCTCAATCTCTTGCTTCTTTGACAAAGTCTTGATGGCGTGTTTGATTTATGTAAGATAGAGTTTCTAGGGAAAATTGGGTACCCAAAGCTCTATGGTCCATATAGAATTGGTGGTATCTATTTTTTAGCCATATAAGGCAAGTAGATACTACGGTATCCACTTTATTGTAAAACTCGCTGTTTAAAAAATTAAACACGCCGTAAAAGCCTCTCTCTCCGTAAGGACAAGTGGATTTACGTGTGTTACACATGAAATGTACTAGAGAATAGAAGAATAAAAGCAGGTGAATGTATGCTAAGAGACTATTTATCTTTTATACAAGGTCACAATTATTTATAGGTATTAGATTTTAAATTTGGAATGAGTCACAAATTTGAGAAAAACTTTATTGAGTATTATGCACAATCAATGACACACTCTTAGCCATTTGATTTCATATTTGAAGGTGGATCTTATCTTATACAGTAGCACTAGTAATAATAATAATAATAATAATAATAATAATAATAATAATAATAATAATAATAATAATAATAATAATAATAATAATAATATCATAAGTATGATTAATACAATACTATCGTTAAATTGTAATAGTCATACCTATAATGAATCATAAGTATCTCTCGTAGAAAAATGGATTGTCTACTTATGAATTATTTATCTATTGTATAAGGCGATCATATTAACTATTGTTTCTTAAATTTCAAAATGGGTGGTTGTAAAAGTGTCATTGAAGAGACACAAGGTTCTAAAAAAAATTTATTGAATTTCGCGACCCAATCTAAACCATCAGATTTGATATCTAATGAGTGAGAATAGTTGTCACCTCCTCGTACACCAGACAAATAGTCGCATGGTAGACAATCCCAAGAAAAAATCATATTCTTGTTCATTCCTTTTATGTAATCAAGAAAACACAATTTTTAAGTATTATGCAAGTATACTTAGAATTATGTACCTATAAACTAAACATATTAATTATTACATAAAAACATATTGTAGAGCTGATATAGCATGACATTATGATTATATCTTTGCTTTCATGCCGAGAGGATTAACAACCTGCAACAACTTCATTGTGAGTTAATAATGTTCACAAACACTATCGAATGTGCCACTATACCAACAAGCTATGGATAAATTGTATCCTATTGCATTTTATACTGCGGTCAAATATTTATAAAAATTATCATGAGAGATTGGAGGATATTGATATGGAAAAATGATGGGGATGGATGAAATCGATGAGATAAGTAATACAACTTTACAATAAAATAAAAAACTAATTTGCATAAATTTGAGTGAAATTTACATGGTTTTTATGGCTTCTATTGATTGCTGAATTTTTTTTCGTCCATATCATATTTTCCTCATTATAGCCTTTGAAACTAGAGTATTCCCTTAAATAAAAAACAATCAGCATTTATATATAAAAAATATTAGAAATAAAGATATTAAACCAGAACAATTGACCTTGCAGAGGCGAGAAGATTAGCAAGAGTGAGAAGATAGTTTTATGGTTTTTGGGTGAGAAGATTGTTTTTTAGTATCTAAATATGCGAGTGTGAGAAGATTGTTTTCTTGTTTATTCAGAAATGAAACGTTCCATCACTTTCCAAACCAGTTTGAGGTTGAACTAATGGGATTTCCTAGAAATATTGGATTTTGTTATTCTTTTAAATTTAAAGGTTTTCTATCATCAATAAATAGAGGAAGGACCTAGCATTTTCTTTTATAAAAAGTCAGTCTCAGTTTCTTTTGTGCCAAGTCATTGCAAAAAATGTGTTCAAGGTTACATCTGTTTGAATTGTATTTATTCTTATTTTTTATTAACTATCATATGATAACTCAACAACATCAATTCCAATGCTAAATGACTAATATAGAATTCTTCTTCTTTTAAATTTTTTTTACTAAATTACGTAATTACATATGTATTAAATTACGTAATTACATAGAAAATCGTAGGGACCGTGGCTTAGTAACATAAATTAGTTTTAGAAAAAGTTTATATAACACCAAGAGGTTGTTTTGATGCTCAAATAAGTTCAAATTGATCATCTCGACCACACCTCAAAAAATTCAAGAGAAGAGGTTGTTTTGATGCTCACATAAACTCAAACTGATTATATCGACCTCAAGATACATGGACATAAGAAAAAAATAAATTTCAAGTTTTGGAAATAGTGCATATTGTAATGTATTTTTTGACCGTCAATTGTAAAGATTTTATAGTTTTCATAGATCTGCTGGAGCTATGCTATTTTTGAAGCTTTAAATTTTATAATTAGTGATGAAAATATATTTGAAGGCTATCAAAAATATTTTCACTTTTGAAACCACATTTCTCGATACTATTTGAAGGTGCGCTTTACTTTGATTGTTTAGAGCCTCGGCTCTATACAAATTGCACCCATTAGTTTTTTCCTTTATAAAACACTACAACGAAATGAAAAAAAAAGTCATCATTCCATAAATTATTCGATGATTCTAAGGTATACCTCGAATATCAAATTTTAATTTTTTTCTAAAATTTGTTTCTATCCAGGAGAACAAGTGTACAATATGCTCCCAGAGCAACATGTAGGACACTATTATCGACTGATGCAACGATTGAAATTACTGATAACAAAGACCAGTCTAACCCATTCTGATGGAAGAAGATTCAATGGTTTTGGAGAGAGACCAGGACATGTTATCTTGCTAAAACATAACATCACCCAAGTTGTTAGTCCCACACCTAACCATTAACATCCATCAATCTGATCAGATGGTGGAAGCTTTCTCTCTATATGGTTCAGGTGGAGCTATATCTACTTGATCGCACCTCTAAATAGAGTTATTTTCCTTTATGGATGAAGTTTGTGTACGGCCTAAGCTTTAGCTTTATGAAAACAAAATATAGCCTGGCCTCAAATCTTCTTCCGGAGAGCACTTTTGGTAACGGACATCACCATGATGGCTCTAAAATCAATTTCTAATATCAAAAATTAAATTTGAAACTAAAAAAATGGTACAAATATGTGGATCTTTGAACGTTTATTCTTAGGGTAAAATGGACGGTCTTGATAATTTGTTACAATATACACTTTTTTGAGCTTGAAATCCATTTTTTTTCACAATCGTAATGATCAAAGCCGAGATGATTGATGTAAAGTTTTTCTAATGTTTTGAGTTGCAATTTTTGATGAGTTATAAGGTGAGACTTTACTTATTTTGATAGTGCTGCAGCCCTACCAAACCATTTTCCTTTATCTAATGTTTTGACCTCTTCTTTGCCTATTTTTTCTAATTCTCATCAAGAATAATCAAATTTTTTTTCTCATCAAGAATAATCAAATTTCACTTTGATTATTTTCCTCTTTAAGTTTTAGTCCAAAAATAAATTTTCTAGTAACATTGGTTATCAATGCCACACTCGCATGTAAAACATAATTGACTACCATTCTCAATCTCCCAATTTTATATACTTTGAAATGGTTTTTGTTCATTATGTCACAAGTTGGCCTCTTAATGTCGATCTTGATTGGGCAGCTAAAAGTATATACCATTTGATTTTTACTATTTTATAAATTATTTTGACATAAATTTTTGGATAGCCCACTTTTCATAGGGAGCATACTTAATAAAAATAAGGACAAATGTTATGAGATAAAAATAAATAACTAAAATATGCCTACAACTTACATGTATATTTTGGTCACATATTATTTTATCATAAAAAATATTATTCATTTTTATTAGGTGGGCACCTCGAGTGGGCACACCCCAAATTTTTTGTCCAAATGATTTATAAAAAAAAAAAAAACAAGTATGTAATATTATGAAAAGAAAACTGTCAAACCATCCATTTAGTTCGAACAACCACGAAACGAATAGCAATCACATGTGTTTTTAACGTGTGGGTGGTGCTGCATATAAAAGTTTCCCTTGGTGCTAGATCAAACCACACGTGCCCTTATCGACAACACCCACTGAATAGGGGGAAATATCCAACACGTGCGGAACACTGTACAAGGTAGCTGTATTGACCATTCACCATCTACACTTATCAAGAAATATGTGATGAAGCATTTCCCCCAGATTTTAAACATATTATTCGTCAGTGGAACAAGAGCTCATCTCCACCATCCGTTGATAAGCATAGACGATGGATGGCAGGTCTTAATAACTCACTTTGGTATGGGTGTGATGCGCAATCCCCTTATATGGGTAAATTTCAACAATCATCGTCATCGTCAAAGTTTTTTTCCAACTTTTAAAGCCAATAGTTTAAGCTTGGTCTTGGGTTTGATTGGTCAAGGTGCTACCAATTGCAACACCACATCCAAGTTCGAATTTGGAACTATCACAAAAGAAACTCGAGAAAATATAAAAAAAAAAGGTCAAAAGCCTTTGTCAAAAGATTACAAATTTCACTTGTGCGTGTGCTTTTGATTTTCCATATCAATAAGGTACATCCTAAAAAATTCTCAAATACCCCTTATTTGCCTATTCGGTATTAGAAAACCAGAACAACTAGAGGTTTTTTGACAAGCAATTAGGAAAATTTTCAATGTTTTTTTTTTTTAGGATGTACTTAATTGATGTAGAAATTAAAAAATACCCTCAAGTGTAATTTAGTGACATTGCAATGTGCCCCCCCCCCCCCCTTAAAAAAAAAAAAAAGGAAACGAAATATGATCATCCATTTCTCATTTGTACAAGAGGTCTCAATTGTACAAAAAAAAAAGAAAAAAGAAAAAAAAAGAAACGAAATTGTACAAGAGGTCTCAATTCTGAAAAGTGTGCTTGCCTTATGATAATATGATCATCCATCATTAATTTGCTTCACCAGTACAACAATTACTAAAAGATTACTGTCACATTGAAGATAAAATATACACAGATAAAGAATGTATCATACAGTTAAAAAGTCTTTGAGTCTATACTCACTAAAATAGGAGCAAAATGGAATTAGAATATCCGAATACACGTAACCAGTGCAACATACAATATACACAGATTTCAACATGCATGGATACATGCATGCATACAGGCTAGTTGTCGAGTCATAAAAGAACTTCCTAAGAATGCATCTGTGCATGGGTATGTTCTAGTGCATGATATCTCCAAAGAACGTATGCATAAATAAATATGGGTCCCACACATACATACATACTTACCAGAGATGGGTCACAGAACAGAAGAACCCTAAAAGTCTGTATGTATGTGTTCATCCATACATACATACTAGGGGATGGGTCATCGGACTCCGAAGTTAAGTGTGCTTGTGCAACAATAAACATGATGATCACCTCAACGTGGATTGATATTGGGAACAACGCCGCTTATATGATCGCTGCCATAACCATTATATGATTCGGAGGCTGGAGAACTAGGGTTCCCAGTGGAGATGCTGACAGAATCTGGGGGGGTCGAGTCACAATCCGGTGTCATTTTCCAAATGTTCTCGAGTTCTTGAACCACTTCAGCCATGGAGGGGCGGGCCATTGTGTCCTCAAGGCAGCATCGCAAAGCCAACTTCATGAATTGGTCCAAGCATTCTGAAGGGTATGAACCCATTTGCTGGTCTATAATTGAGGACAATGTGCCTGATTGATAGGCAGTATTCACCTAAAAGTAAGAGGACATGCGGGTTTCATTATTTTTAGACCACAATATATAAGGGAGCCATGATTAACTCATCTCTCTCTGAGAATGATGATGATGAATAATGATAATCATGGTGGCTACCATGTAAGTGTAGCAAAATTATCAAAATATTTCAAGTCTGATATTTTCCTTAATAACCATTTTGTTTTTTTCACATATTTGATGGCTTGGCTGGGGGGCCCAACCTATTGGGGTTTTTGGGAAGGGGTTTGAATTCTCATAGGTAGGATAGGAGGAGAAGATTTATGTGTACATGCAAGGAAGAGTTCAGAAAAAAATAATGAAAATATAAAATGAAATCACCCAGAAAGCCCCCTTGCATCTCTCTTTGACGCTTCTTCCCTGCTGCCCCAAAACACAACCCAAAAAAAAAAAAAAAAAATTAATATGTTGAAATAATAAAAGAAATATATATCAGGTTAAAAAATATTTTATTTTTAAGATTTCAGGAAGCCCTTTTTATTTTAGATAATGGTTTCGAGATTTCATGATGTGAAGGCATTAGGATAGGTGTCAATCCCAACTAAGTTGATCCTACATAACACAAAGGAAAACTGAAGTAACTACAATCCTCTCCTGATTGACATATTTGGAGGAAACAAATTAAAAAAGGGAAGAAGAAAGAGAATCAACATGGGAAGATGAGTCGAGGTCCTCAACATGCACTATAATCAGTCTGTCTTACCTCTCGAACAATGTTCTTGCCATGAGAAATTGGACGCATCCCAGTCAAGATCTCAAGAAACACGACTCCCAAACTATAAACATCGCTTTTATCCGTCAATTTGTGGGTTAAGAAGTATTCTGGATCCAGATAACCCTGTCATCAAAGCCCCATTATAACCTATCATATCTTTGGATAATAAAGAGCCAATAGTCTAATCCATAAAAGAGCATCAGTTGGCAGTCTAAGACGAACACTATAACAAAAACAATTTTATGCGAGAGAAAAAAGATACATATATGAAGCATAAAAAACTCATAATGATGGCAAGCAAGGAGATTTATTGAAAAAAGGATGATGTTTCAAGTTTGGACTTTGGAGACTATAGAACTAATATGCATGTTCCGAAGTTTCTAAAACTAATCAGTGTCGGAGTCATTGCACTGTCAAATGCCAGGATCCTAAAGCTCATTACTGAGCAGAGTGCAGAAGCCATTATTAAACTCTAGGGAAGTAAAACATATTTAAATGGCGAATAGGATATGATAGTCCAGTGTCGGAGTCATTGCACTGTCAAATGCCAGGATCCTAAAGCTTATTACTGAGGAGAGTGCAGAAGCCATTATTAAACTCTTGGGAAGTAAATCATATTTAACTAGAGAATAGGATATTGTAGTCCATGTCTACATGTGCAGTGCATTCCCATTGACATATGGTTGGTGATCAGTCCAACTAGGCCCCATAGGAACATGGACACAATCAATCTCCAAGCATCCACAAGTGACAATCACGGTAGATATAGCCCGGGCTACCATATATTTTTGTCTGTTGGACCATTTTATACTTTCCCTTGTTTTCACAAAACCTAACTTTCACTAATAAAATTTGAAACATTTGTGTATGCGAAAATCCTCAAAACCTAATTTCTTTCTAGCTTCTCCAATAAAACAGAAAACCAAAATCAATTACCAACATTAGTATATTAGACATCACAGCATCACAAATCACCAAGGATTCTACACAAACCAATATTAAGTATCAAGAATAATCTTACTGGAGTGCCTTTCACCACGGTGGAAACGTGATCTGGAGCACTGCCATCAAGATCTGAAACTGGGGCAAGCCTTGAGAGTCCAAAATCTGCAACTTTGGCGACAAATTTTGAGTCCAATAAAATGTTGCTTGCTTTAATGTCACGGTGGAATATAGGCGGATTGGCTTCGTTGTGTAGGTAGAGTATGCCTCGAGCTGAGCCTAATGCTATGCGTAACCTCCTAGCAAAACCCAAAGGTTCCTTTGATTTTCCTGTCATAGGCAAAAACAGAAACAATGACCAATAAATACAAGGACTAGCTGGCGTTCAACAGAGAGATGGTCAGTAAAACTTAAGGAAATAAGTAATCGAATGTATGTATTTTTATGCAGATATAACCACTTGAATACACTGCAAAAGCCGATGAGGATTTGTGGTGCTGACAATAATAACAATCCCAATAAAATAGATACAAACATTTTCTCATGTATTCATTTATGATCTTGAGTTACTGAGTTGCTATGTGGCACAAATAGTTAGGATAAGACTCTAATGATGTAGGGTGTATTCTCTGGTGATCATGAGAATTCGTTCTAGTTCACATGCATGTGTAGTCCAAGTGCATATGGATGCATAAGAGTGCACACAATTCTATAAAGATAAAATATGAGCAAATATTTTGTTTCTATTTTAGACATAGTTTTAAAAAGCCAACCGCCCAGTGCCTAGGTGGCCGCCTAGGCTGTTCGGAAGGCCTGGGCGCATCGCCCAGGTCTAGGCGGCCAAATTAGGCGGATATCCCTGGGCGCCCGCCTAGCCACCCGGAAGCTCGCCTAGGCGGAGGGCCCAGGGACGGAAATGCAGCTCCTTGAGGGTATTTTTGGGTCATTTTTTTAATACTAAAGGGGTAAAATTGTGGGTTTTAGGTTCATTTGAAATCTAAACCCATTAGAGGCTATTTTAGACAGAGAAAACCAAAAAAAACAAATTTTACTAGGCCACCCAAGTTTTGGGCACCCACCTGGGCGCCGGGCGGCCTTGACCCCCCCGACCGCCTAGGTGCCGCCTAGCACTTTTTGAAACACTGATTTCAGATGGACTGAATATAGATTTCCAAATTTTAGCTGCAGCTTATGTTTCTCTGTAAGAATATTTATGCCCGTCAGGTGTCCAAGTACATGCTGGACCATGTCTAAACATGAGGTTCCTCAGTAGCTGCCTGAGATACAAGAGACTACGAACAAATATTGCTGTTATATTTTCCGTATGTCTTGCTGATGAAACACGAAAGAACAACATCAACAACATGAAAATACAAAACTGGATAAGAGAAAGTTCGGTGAGAAAGTTCCAGCACCAGAAAAGTCATGCTAATACATGCTAATAAAAATCTAGAAAAGATCAGAGAGATACCTCTAAGGTGATCACGTAGTGTTCCATTTGGCATGAACTCATAAACCAGCATCTACATACAGAAAATTAAGTTGCTATTAGAACTAACAACATTTCATATATCCATTATCAGCAGCATAAATAAAACAGTTTAGCTTGATTTTCAGGCTAATCAAGGGTTTCAAGCATCAGTCTGGTTTGGCATGGTGCGGCCAGATGCCACTGGTTTCACTTGACAAACCCTCATAAAATGCAGAAATATCCGATACCATTGGCATTTGGAACTATAGATGCCTCCATTCAATGTTCTGAAGAATACGTCTAGACACATACATTCCATCACTGACTCCTGCAAGCCTTTGCTACTAGGGAAGCGCATACTTTATAACCAGTTAGACAGAAATTCAGTTAAAACACATAGCTCCAACACCTTCTTTTGGTTTGATGGTTATTTGGAAAGCTGTTACTTCAGCAAGAACTGATGATACCATGACTCAAAAGGGTATGTGCTGAGAATTAATAGGCTCTATACAAGCATAGCACCTGATGCATACTACCAAAATGTATTCATAAGATCATAACTACATGAGTACTTCATAAAAATCCAAAGCAGCTCAGTTGGCACTCAAATATTTCCGCATAATACTTAAGATAAACTGATGCAAGGGTTTGCCATGAAAAACCTAATGAGCATTTTAATTAATGCAATAACTGGAATACTGCATGTATTTTTCAAGAAGATAAAACAATTTTACTAAAAAATGAGAGAGAAACTGTTCAGATAGACAATAGATGTGGAGCAATGCCTAGCTGACACTTTGTCAGGCAAACTGATGCATGCTTCAAAGGGGTATATCATAATGTAGAAAAGAATATAGGAAATCCCAAATCTAGAAACTTTAAAAAGCGAATATACCTCTTCACTGGCTTCATCACAATAACCAACAAGAGACACCAAGTTACGATGATGCACCCTTGACAGTAACTCAAGTTCTGTGAGGAACTCTTTCTGGCCCTGCAGAGAACCTTCCTCTGCACGTTTTATAGCAACTACTGTACCATCTGCTAGAAGGCCTTTATAGACCCTACCATATCCTCCTAGACCAACTTGTGTGGACCTGCTAAAATTGTTTGTAGCCAGAACCATCTCTTCATATGTAAAATCTTTGACACCATCAACTTTGATAGGGGACTTTGACACTGCAAAAGATAAAACAAGGCATATTTATCGCTATATAATTCCCAACCTGTAGCATTTGACACCAGTTCAACGTTTTGATTTCTATTTTAGCAGTGGTCATATGTTAATCAAGCAATATTTAGTATAATGTAAAGGATTAAAAAGTAAAATGCAAGAAGAAAAGATACAGGTAAGAGAAAAAGAAAAGGCCTTCTTGTAATCGAGCAGTACATCAAATGCTCAAATCGGAAAAGATAGCAAAGTATTGTTTGACAAACTCTTAGAAATTACGCAATTTGCTTCCAAGTGTTCCCTTATTAGATAAGAGCAGAATAACAATTTTGGTAGATATGGCTCGGTAACATCCACCCAGAACACTATTGATTCTTTTGCATTCTCTACTTTTGGACTAGTCTACTTGGTTTTAAATTTCAATCTCAATCGCAACTAATTAGGGACACTTTTTTCCTAGTACGTGAGGGACATGAACCTATGGTTATAAATATCTACATAAATTTTTTTGTTATCCGAATCCAAAAATGGGAGATAGTTTTCATATTATTTTATAGTTGGGATAACACTCGGATGATGATGAAGTTAAATGGGGACAGCGTGAAGTCTACCACAAGACTTCAATGGTATCATTGTCTTTCTACACCCAGATATTTTTCACAACAAAAGAAAGCAACACCATGGTAGTGCCCAGACAAATAGTGCAACTCCTCACAGATTCCCATAAATTTAATCGTGATTTCTATGTAGGAAACTGACTCTATGAAACCTATACTTTTTATACAGTTACTACTATCAAAAGTATGCAGTGCTCCTTAGGTTAGTCACAACTCACAACTGCAACAGCACCTTTACTTGAGCAGACTTCCTAAAAAATGTCACAATGGAACATATGATACAGAATATATGCAGTACACAGAAGTTAAGGAAACCCTGAAAACCTTACTTGAAATAAATAATCCATTATCAGTTTTCTTCAAAACCGACCTCAGAACATTTATTGCACTTTGAGAGGGAGTTAGAAATCTCACATAGATGTTTGCTTGAGATACCATGGTGGTATCGTGTATGCCTTTTCATGACGAGCAGACAGATGATTGCAGACAGTAGAACTATAACAGCACCAGCTCCTAGTATAATACCGAGTATAGCACCCATGCCAATTCCTGACTTTGGAGACTCAAGAACCACTGTAATAGTAAGAATATGTCAGATCACCAGTCTAATGTGATAGTTAAAAGAAACTGAGGGGCTAAAAAGAAATGTTGAAACATACTATTTGCATATGGTCCCTTGAGAGTGAAATTAAGCAATTCGTACGGCCCAAATACATCACTATGATGAATAGTCCACCCAGTAAACAATTCTTGTATTCTTCGAACTTCACTTAAATTGAAAGTGTTAGAGTGGTTATCGAATTGAGGAAAAAGTTTCAGCAACATCCTTAATCTAGGACCATGTTCCCAAAAATAAGAATCGATGTCTAGCTGATAAGACGCTAGGTTTAGACCAGACGTGATGTACGTTTCAAAATATGTCTCATAGGGAGAGAAAGATGAAATTCCTGGACTTTTTAACCGATATCCAACTTCAATAGGTGCTGCACAAAAGCACGGCACTGGTGATTCAGGAACATATTCAAAATTGCTCTCTGTAGGGCATGCATGAGGTGGGCAACCAATTTGTTCATTGCTATTCTTTTCGTCATTTCTTTGAGCCTGAGAAACACAGAAATGGGAAATACTGAGCCTGTTGGAGTTCGTGCAAACTGGATTTCCTTGAAGCCTGTATAATGGCACCCGTCATAAGCATTTTGAGCTTGAAATATATTTAACTGAAAGTTCCAAGTAGTAGCAAGTCCAATAATAATACAAATTGTAACCATATATGTTGATTTTGAACATAAAAGCATAAGAAGCATACTGGTGCTCATTACACAAGGTATGTCAGCAAATATAATGAGAGAGAATATCTGGGAAAAATCTGGCTCAAAGTGGGGTACGCCTAGTTTGATTTGGAAATTACTTCACCACACCCTAGTACAATGGCAGCTGTATTATTCGTATTTGGTAATACAAATTAAGCAGATAAATGTTCTCTATAAAAGTTACTGGTGAGAGAATTTTTATCTACAATAAAAAGGGTCGTAACCCGTTGCTGGTCCCGCCTAAGCAGGGTCCTGGGAGGGGTGGGCGGGAAACGGTCCTAACCATTGGCTTATGCACAAAGTGGCCGCTCTCAAGACTCGAACCCACGCTCTTGCGCTGGCTACCCGAGCCTTTCACCGTCACACCAAGTGACAGCCCCTTAACTTTTATCTACAATGATGAATGCAAGTACCAATAAAAGAAAGCATGGCTAGGCTCTTTTAATATTATATTTCTACATGGTGTGCACTTTCAGTGATGAGAACTTCGATAAAGAGTCTCACGTCATTGGCAATTTATTCAACAATAAACTCAGCCTGCAAAGCTTATGCATGATGTTTTGCAGAAGAAGTAGGGTAACTAGCTAGGCGACCTCAGAATGTGCAATATACCCCCAAGCAAAAGAAAAAGGAAGATTTCAAGGCAGCTGCCACAGCAATAGTGAAGGCTGACTGGTAGCACCACACTTCCAAGGTGTTGCAAGAGAAAGACATCAAACTGATTTTAACCCCTTTAGTCCTTTAAAGCCACATGATGTCCTGAACTAGAGGTAAGGTATTTTTTACCATTTGCCAACAGCAATGACAAAAAATTGATGCAAAGCCTGGCACTCAGCATGTAAACATGTACTACGCCTTTCCACAGCTGAATGTCAACCGCGACTTTAAATCCTTCATCACTGCCACTTGCAAATCGATGGAAGCTTTCTAAATCCGCTTTGTGACATAAGGGCGGACATTTCTTACACAAAAATGTAGTGTGTGTTTACGAAGCCAAGCAACAGAGATGCGTAAGTCAGAAAACTTGTACATAGAGTCCAGATGCATATTACAAACTTAAACATGCATCTAATTACAATACATGTTATTCCCATAGAAGATACAATAAATTTGTTCTCATTAGATAATAATAAAGTCATAGCCGACCCAATTCGGAAAAGGCTAAAATGATGATGATGAGATAACAATAAAGTCATATATTCTTTCAATTCAATTAACAATGACCTCAACTAAACTAATCAATATATCAAAAAAATTTGAGACAAAATTACAAGCAAAAGGTAACCCTACTCAATGGTAACATTTGCTGGAGGATTCAACAAGGCAGAAACATCTGAAAGCAAGTTGTCTCGGAAATCCCTGCATGGTTCAAGCACAAGAATTCAAGCATGAGGAGAACAGATTTTATGCAAGCAGTATAACAATAATGAGAAATAAGTGTACATTGTAAAGATGGAAGTCCCTTTGTAAAGAAGAAATCCATATTGCTACTAAATGAATGAACAAAATCCATTACATATAAAGGCTGAAAGAAATTTACAACTAAGAATAAAGAAGACAAAAAAAGAAAATAAAATCTCCTTTATAGGAAACCCTACACACATATACACACTGAACTCTGAATCCCGCTTATTGTAATATGTATACATGTATGTATGTTATATATATATAATTACATATACAGAGAAAAAATGGAGAAACTAATGATCATAGAGGAAAAATGAAAGTTAAGAAGCATCTGAAACAGATAGAAAGTTCTGAACGAGTACTTACAAAACAAGAGTTGCATTGTCACTAAATGACAAATTCTGCCATGTGGTAGATGGAACTGAGCCACTCAATCTGTTGCTGGAAAGTGACCTGTAGACGAGAGGAGATCATGCAGATTAGCATTCTGGGTGGCACCTGAAGTGTTATCAGCTGCAGTTGTATATGCCATCAACTGGATATTCATATTGGTTTTGACAGGAATGAGAAAAACTGGAAAAGGGAATCTCACAATCTTTGCAGAAGAGGAAGGCCCGAAAAGTTTGAAGGAATGGATCCATTGAGACTGTTGTGTGCCAATTCACTGAATAAATGAAAAAAATTAGGGTTAGGGGAAAAATTAAGGAGCTAAGTGCTAATCATTCACTTACCTACATTTTCAACCAGTCACAACGGTGACTATTGAAAACTTCAATCCGTGATTAAAATAGCAAAAGATATTCAATTCATGCATAATAAAGTGGGGATATACTGTTTCTATTATGATAACTCCATATCAGGGAAGTTACATTGTAGTGATGTTTGAAGATAGTCTTCCTGTTGGAATGGGTCCTGAAAGATTGTTCCAGCTGAGGTCCCTGAAATACAGAGATACATGTTCAGACATGTTAATAGGAAATAAAAGGGAAGTGATTAAAAAAAAAAGGTTACAAGGGATTTAATTTCTTTATGAATTTAGCTCCACACAGTATCATAAAGGAACTTACAGATAACCAAGGCGAGGTATTCCACTTAAGTCGGGAATATTTCCTTGCAAGCTGCAATTCCGAAGGCTCCTATAGAGTAAAAAAGGCGAAGAATCATAGTGTGAGTGGATCATAAAGATTAGGAGAAATGCACAAGTTTGAAGCTGCATTGCATACAGTAATGTGGGACAAATAGATGCTCACATTTTCAACAATTTTGACATGTTAGCATAGGAGGCTGGAATGTGGCTGCCTGTGAATTGGTTGTTATCAAGTTGCCTACAAAATAAATCCAGGAAATAGACATCAGACACTTAAAAAAGTCATTCATCAAAGTACACATCTTAATGGGCTAATTTTGTAGTTCTCACTAATAGATGGATAAAAGCAGCCAAGCATAACCAATAACAGTGGCCTCCCCTGTATTATCAGTAGCTTTCATGAAGAAAACAAGGTACAAAAGCCAATTCCAGTGTATGTGATATGTTTGAAATGAACTAGAATGCCTAGGAGAATGGTTGGGCCGGATGTCAACGTTTGAGGTCTTCCCAATGCTGTAATATGCTCTATACTGACTACTGAACAGTAACATCTATTACTATATACAATAACAAAGGATAATTATCAAAAACCAAATGGTCCATCCACAACATGATGGGCAGCCTTTAGGTATAGCTAACAGAGGAGTGAAATTAAATAAATCTCATTGCGAATATGCTTGAAGCAATCAACGTTGGGATAATACTTAAAGAACGGAGAGTTATAAGGGGGATCAATTCTTTTTTCTTTTTTTTTTAATGTTTGAGAGATCAAGTGCTTATTGTTAATGTAAATACTCAATGGCAGTGTCCTACTCTGATCTCTATTTAGAAACCTACAGCAATGATTAACCATTCACGGTATCACTTCAGGATACCAAGCAATCGAATGAAATTTCAACATGACTTCATAGAGGGGGATAAGAACATACAGAATGAGCAACCTCGGCATGTTTGACAATTCTGGAGGAAGATGTCCAGTCAAATTGTTATTATCCAGAAGACTGCAATTCACAAGAAAAATAGAAGATAATCAACACCCAACTACTAACCAAACACAATTTAATCTATTCAAATAATAATTTATAAGTCTAGATGAAAAAAATGTTTCATAAGAGATGAGAACTTACAGGTGAACCAAATTAGGCAAATTGGAGATCTCCACTGGAATTTCCCCACTAAGTGAATTATTGTTCATGTGACTGCAAACAGTACATAATTACAAACAGAAAAACAAAACAAATGGGTCAGCCACGAACCAGACCGAGTTTCAGTAACAAGCAATATACAACTTACAACTCACAAGTGCTTCGCGTTGTTTAGGTTTCCAAATGACTTTGGTATTGACCCTGATATTCCATTCTGGTCAATTTGTAAGCGATTCAAGCTCGGAAGATAACCAAGCTCCTCTGGCAAAGAACCTGAGAGTTGGTTCCCATTCAAGAGCCTGCACAATTAGAGACGTATATAGGAAGCTGTAGCATCTCAACAGAACTTACGAATCTCTCCAGTAAATAGAATTGTAGCACATAAAAAAGCCCGTGCATAGGGCTTGCACAATAATCCTAGAAAACCAGATAGAGAGCAAGAATATTTGCTATATATTTCTTGGATTGTGCATTGCTTAAAATTCTTAAAAGATTCACAGAACTCCCATGCATACTCATAAATACAGGTTATCTACCGCAAATGGTCATCCACTTGCATCAACAAAACGCATGCAATAAAAACTGGGTCCAACTAGTTATATATCTATATAAAGGTAGGGTTTAGGTGTGCCAGGGGACGCACGTATTGGACTGCGCCACCCTCCCAAAACCATCTTAGAGAGGGATTGAGGATCCAAAATTCTACGTGTCTATCATCTCGACCACCATGATCATGAATCATGAAGCTAGGACCAAAAGGAAAAAAAAAAGAAATTTAAGATTTATAATTGATCCATTTTGTACCCTTTGTTCTGGACCGTTCATTTCAATTCTTTAAAGATCATCAGATCTACACTATTTTTGGAGGTCCACATTCATGTCTGAACTGCTCATTTCAATTCTAAAATATCATCAGATCTACGATATTAATGGAGCCCCACATTCATGAATTTGAGGTGGAAGGAGATTTGCAAACATTTAGGAAGTGGTTCAAGTCCTAAATCAGACAATACAAGGGGAGATTCATGCATCATAGGATACGAGAAATACTTTCCCTTATATAATCGTGCCCAGCAAATTATCAGATATATTACGAAGAAGTTATTTAAATTTCTCTAAAACATGACCTGGTCATTCCCTTCATCAGTGATACAATGTATAGCACTTGAGAATAGAATTGTGTGCAGCCACTGGTATAAGGGATAAAGGGAACATACTGCATTTACCCTTTCTCTCATATCAAAATAAACATACAGTAGCAAATTTGAAAATATATGCATAATATATAAATTTTCCTAGATTGCTCAACAAATTCTCAGGCATGAGGATTTATGGAGAAAAATGGAGAGCTCTCGATCATAATATCTTCCAGAAAATTGGAGCTTGAGACTCAAGTATGAAGAAAATTAATGAGGCTTGAAAGTTGCAGAGCATGTGAACAGCCACAAAAAATCAAATTGTATGCGAAATGTCTACAGAATGTGTGATAGTTCCAGGGAAGACAACGATGGAAATAAATAGAGCTCCAAATTAATGTTTTCAAAAATTTAAAATGGAATAGCTCAAACCAGGAGAAGCAAAGCACCAATCCATTTAAACTATATCGACAAATAATTAGAGTACGAGGCTGATTCATCCCACAATGTTTCAATTATACTGCAACCTTCAGGAATTCGGCAAGAATGACAAGAACACAACATGCATTTCAGTTTAAAATATGAACTTCATACCCGTATCAACTCAAAAAATTTTAAGGGAGCATGTATAGCCTACCCTACTCGTACGAGAGTTCAATCGGTTTTTGTGCTTCTTGCCTACAAATTTTAAAGTCAATCAAACATCCTATATTATTGATGAGACTAGAGAAGGCGTAAACGCAAAGTTAGAACTTTGGTAGTGATGCTTTAGAATCTAAAGGTTGTAGAATAAGCCAGACTAAGACAAAATATATGGAATAAGTTTAGTAATAATAAGAGTAGCAACGAGGTACTAGTTAAGATTGAGACCCAAAAAAGTGCCTAAAAGAGGTTATGTATGATATCCTTAGTCGATACTCCGTAAGAAAGGAAAGATTGAGGAAGATGTTGCTCGTAGATAAAGCTGGGCGGATGAAGTGAAGATGTGCTTCTTGAGTCTTATATGATCGGTGCATACTAATAAAACTGAAGAGGAAGTTCTATCGGATGGATGTATGCCGAGCCATGCTTTATAGGACATAATGTTGGGAGGTCAAGAAACAACATATCCGTAGAATCAATGTAGATGAGATGAGGATGTTGGGATGGATGAGTGACAAGACGAGAAAGGATAGAACTTACAATGAATACATTTGAGGCAACTTAAGGTGGCTCCCAATAGGCGATAAAATCAAGGAAAGTAAATGTCGGTGGTCTGGTGATGTGCAACGTCAAACCTAGAACAACACAAGTTAGAAGGGGTGATTTGGTTCAAGTAGAAGGCTCTAAAACGGTAAAGGGAGATGGAAGTGGTGAGAAAAGGTATGGTGACTGATAGTCTGGTTGAGGGTATGGCCCTTGATAGAGGGGGAACGACAGAACATGATATAGCCAACCCCATATAGTTGGGAGAAGGCTCGAATGATGACGAATCAAAGATCTTAATACTGACATACACTAGCATCTATCCCAAGTTGAGTTATTCGTACTAGATCCTCGATGGTGGCAAATTTGTAGTCATCAGTACATTAAATTGATTAGGAGTTGAAGAGGACGTCATCATTAGTCCAAAATAGCTCCAAATTGTTGCATTTAGCAGATCTCTATATCGAGCATCGCTTATAGGTACACTTCACCTCCACTCATAGCAAGTGAAGCACCCGTCAGGGTAGGCAATTACCCAAAGACTCGCTTACAATCAACAAAATCACTGCACTTTGTTGTAGCCCCTAAACATCAGGTTCTATGTGCATAATTAAAATGTCAAATATCCTATGCTATAAAACAAGAGAAGGACACATTCAGACACACTCAAAAAGAAATGACTCAGAGAGAGAAGGTGAACTAACAAAAGAACCTAGAAAAGCCAAGTAGCTCACTTGACACAACCCATACATATCAAATGGTTTTCACATGAAGGCATATTAAACTAAAGCTAAATGATATCCAGATTTGACTTACAGGAGTTCCAGAGACTTGACATTGCCAATCTCCTTGGGTATTGTGCCGCTCATTTGGTTCCACATAATATCACTTCCAAAAGAAATAGAAAAAGTTATTTGAACCAGCATAAGAATAGACACTGTAACATATCTTATAATTAATGAAAGAAACATAACAAAAATCAAGCATAAGAAAACAATGTAATTTATATGACTTCTGAAAAGAAGCAAGATACTGAAGTTAAATTGGGCCAAAGTACTAGATTTTCTAAAGCTGACAGCCTAGAGCAAATCCTTAGTATTGAATTCATTGACTCACAATATCTTTAGATAAGATAGTTGACCAATCTCAGGTGCCAAGGTACCAGAGAGATTCATATCCAGCAGCAGCCTGCAAAGCAAATATGATAATAAATTCCCATAACAAAATCCTCATAAAAATAAGTATGCTATTCTAGTCTGGCTAATGAACTCCCATTACACATTAAAGAAAAAACAAAATCTACACTCTCAAGAGAAAACGGAGTACACAATCAGCACAACTGATGAGTTTAAGTATATGGCCGATCATACTTGACAGAGGCATTAGCTTAAAAAATGGTTGTTATGGTCAAGCATATAATGTGCACCATGAGATTTTGTTATAGGATCGGCAATTCCAACTAGCTTCTACTGTTTATATATCAATTTAGATTTTGAAGCATTCAATATTTCTTTCCTCAAGCTATTGGATTAAATTAGGAGAATCATCTTCAATTTCCTACCCCCATTAGCGAAAGGAAAATGGATCAACATATAAAGAAAGGGATATAAATACATGGCATGTAGCACAACAAAAGTTCCAGGAACATACACTTCTCGAACATGCCAGTAACCATCCTCTTCAGTTGCATTGAAGCATGAGATCCCAGTCCAATTCGAAGTACATGGATCACCCTTATTCCAATTTCTCAATCTTTTAAAAGGATCGGCCAACATCCTCTTGATTGACCGTAAAGCAGAGACTGCAAATTGATTATGCGGTATATATTATCCACAAAACTGATAACATTTGTTTAACCAAAACTTGCTATAAACCAAGAAACATATAACCAATGCTTGCTATAAGACAAGAACAAATCTAATATGAACATCATGTATCCTAAACTTGTTAATGGCACAAAAAATATTATAGAATGAGGATCAAAGGCACAAATTACAAAGGCCAAAAGACAAATTTAAGGAAAAGATGAAAGCAATATAATTCCGATAAATTTTGTAAGTTGAGCAGTAGATTTCATTATATAAATCAACTAATCCAAAGAGAAACAGAATAAGTAGAAATTCCATCCCATTAAATTATCCTTTAATAAATCATAATTATAGCAAGCCAAAATAAATCCAAAATTTGCATATTACACAAAATCGCTTTGTATCTACACGGAAGCAGACCAAAATTCGACATAATTAAGTAGAGAACCAATTCGGATGAAATCACACTCGAGAATGGCATCGAATAAAAAATGAGTCCCATTTTTACAACAGAAAAAAAAAAATTCAGTTTTTCACCATGGAATCATGAGGATATATCCTAGGCAATTCAAATTCATCTTTTTTTTTTTTTGAGAATGTTAACGTTGTATTACTATAAATTGTTGTTACAAGCTATGTCTCCTGAAAAGGTTTTTGGGACGTGCCATGTTGCGCCTGGGACGCAACGGCCCAGCATCGGGCCTTATTCAAATTCAAAATTTTTTATTGAAAAAACTCCAAAACTTCCAAAAAATCTAATCAAAATCAACTTCACTCAAGACACACAATGAAAGAAAATTCAAGCCAATCAGGTTCAAATCACAGCCATAATTTCTAAACTTTTCACAAAATTATATGAAAGATCACCTTCAGTTGGGCTAGTGACCTGAGCTTCTCCAAAAAACAACAGAAAACAGAGAGAAAAAGCGATAATTGCCTGAAAAACCCCTGATCCTGATTCCAACATCTCGAAACCCTAGAAAATATCCAGAGTGGGAAGCTCCCTAACTTTGTAAGGCATACGCCATGAGGGAAGACAAATTCGTAAATGAATAGATCCAAATAGAGATAAAGCGTCATTTTCTATAGAGCCGCCGCTTTTTGACTTTTCTAGGGTTTTGTTGCAGGTGAGACGGCCTGGATTGTACGGCCAATAAATTACAGTTTTTGGTCGCGTCAATGGTTATTGTGCAGTGGCGCTCACACGGAAGCCTCCATTTTCATGGCTTTCTGATTTGAGATTTTGAATCCGTCTGGTTTTAACCTTATAATTATTTCAAATGGCGACAATATCCTTATTGTTCTAACGCAGAGCTAAAAGATTTAATACTCCCGCGGGAGCATACTATCCATTACTCAGGTTGGTAATACTCATATGAGTAATTTTAGTATCTAAAAGTTTAGGGATGTAGCCTCAACAACCATATACTAACCTCAATAAAAAAATTTCCAAAATTGATCTCTCTCTATATATATTAAGAACAAAAATGTAACAAAAAAAAGTTTCAAGGTCACCATTTAATTTTTGAAGGTCAATATCTGACTGTCAAAAAGCTCAAAATTTTAAATTTTTTATTTTAAAAATTATCTTTTGGTGATGCTTCAAAAATCGGACTGAAAAAACTTCCCAAGTAAGTTTTTTGATGAGGGAATTGATGCATAATATATTCCAACAAGAGCATAGTATACGCACTCATTATATAATAAAATCCTCGCCATTGTCTATGAAATCGTTGAATGATTGAATCAAAGATGTGGCTGCTTCCCAAATGGCTGGTTCACCCGTCCATTGTAGTGTTTTTTTGCAATACATGTTTTAATTAAGAAAACGGTTTATACAAGGGCGAGGCCCCTAACAATTAAATTAAAGGGCACCTAAAATATCCACTAGAAAAATGTTATTTTGATGCTACAAAATCCTCAAATTAATCATCTCAATTTTAAGATGTATAGACATTAGAAAAAATGGATTTCAAGTATTGGAAATAGTCCATCTTGTGATGTATTTCTGGATTGTCGATTTTTTAAGTATTCATAGATCTATTTGATCGATAGAAAAAATAGATTTCAAGTATTGGAAATAGTCCATCTTGTGATGTATTTATGGATTGTCGATTTTTTAGATTTTTTAAGTATTCATAGATCTATTTGATCTATACTGTTTTTTAAACTTTAAGCTTTATAATTAGATATGAAAAATAAAGTTTCAAACCACCACAAATATTTTTAGTACCGAAAAATAAATTTCAACATTGTTTAAAAGTGCACCTTACTTTGATTGTTTGGGGCCTTAGCCCTATACAAACCCATACCCTTTAGTTAATATCCATTTCATGCTCCAACAAAATGAGGTTTCATGCAAGAATTAATGTGATATCTTGCAAACCTATTTGCACTATTGACTATAGAAATTGAAGCTCAAAAAATAGTCTGATAGGACAAATCTATAACCATTTGAAATGTACACTTCAAAAAGGTATTACAAGATATTGGGGTCGTGGTGGTAGCACTCCACACTCTAGTCACCACATAGTGGGTTTTACTCTCACCACTAATACCACCCTCTAACAACTTCAAAAAGCTAACTCTTAATCTACTTGAAAAAAAAGGTGAGGGCCTGTCTTCTATTCCCACCACTTACGCCTTCAAAAGCCTAACTCCTAGTCTACTTGAGAAAATGGATATGGGCATGTCTTCCCTATTGAATTACCCCCCAAAAGAACAAAAAGATCAACCATTTTTTAAGGATTGAAATTTATTTTTTTCAAACATGTTTTTCAATGTTGAGATAATCCATAGGTAAGTTTTCCAGCATTAACAAAATACTTTTCAACCCCCAATTTTCCAAAGGGCAATTTATCAAAGAGAAAGTATATAATAGCACTATTTACCTTTGATATAAGGCGGTTACAATTAATCTTGACCATTGAATGTGAAATTGGGTAGCTGCATCTATTTTGTTGACCAAGCTCAAAGTTTAAAAGATTTTTTATCGAATTATTTGTCACATCCAATCTATCAGATTTTACTTCACCTGGCTATAAGTAATTGTGACCTCATTGTATTAAAGGTAAATAGTCTCATTGTATACAATCGCTTTATCAAATGGGTATTGTTTGTACACGGCTTAGGCTCTAAACAATCAAAATAAAGCGTACCTTCAAATAGTATCGAGAAATGTGGTTTCAATACTGGAAAACTTTGTGATAGCCTTAAAATTTATTTTTATCTCTAATTATAAAATGTAAAGCTTAAAAAATAGTGTAGATCGAGCAGATCTATGAAACTTGAAAATCTTGAAAATTGACGGTCTAAAAATGTATTACAAGATGTACTTATTTTCAAAACTTGAAATCCATTTTTTTCTCATGTCCATGCATATTGAGGTTGAGATGGTCAATTTGACAATTTTTTAGCATAAAAAACAACCTCTTATAGTGAAGTTTTTGAGGTGAGCCTTAATTTGATCGTTTAGAGCCTCGCACTTATATAAATTTTTTCCTTATCAAATACACATTAAAGATCGAGAGTTTAACATCTTTCCCATATTTGCACCATATTTGCAACTAGTCACACACAAGACCATGATCTTTTCCTTGGGTAATTTGAAAATAAATCAAAAGATACCGGAGAAGTGTTAAACTCCGTTGGGTTAAATTCCATAAATTTCCCTTTTCAAAAGGAGGGCCTTTCCTATATTTCTCTACAAGGACAGTTCGCCATTTCTGAAAAGATATGACAACAAAGATACAGGTTAGTGCCACATACTGTTTGCCCTTTAACAAAGTTCTTACAGTTTACAAGGGTTTGATAGGGGTGCACACCTTATAACTCATAAAAAATTGCAATTCAAGCAATGGAAATCCTTTACATCTCCTTGACATTATGGCTGTAGAAACAAATTAGAATATCATACTTTAAAAGTAGGGTATATTTAACAAATTATTTAAACTGTCAAGTTCAACCTAAAAATAAGTGTTCAAAGATCCGCAAGATCTGTACTATTTTTTAAGTTTCAAATTTTATCATCGGTCTTGAAAATTGATTTTAAAACCAACATGGAGATTTTCATTGTGCTTTCCCAATGAGGTTTTGAGACCCGGCTTTATTTTGTTTTCATAAAGCCTAGGCTTTATAGAAACTTCATCTTCTTGATGAATAGATGACTCCAAAATTTTGACCTCCCTTTTCCTAAGTAGTGGTTAGATGGATTCCCACCTCCAAAATACATGTCATAAAAATCAGTGGTTAGATGGATTCCCACCTCCAAAATATATGTTATAAAAATCAAGTGTTAAAAAGACATTGGCCCCACCATCACATCTTGATGCCTTGACTTAATAGGAACAGTTCAACAAGATTAGATGGATCAAGAAAATGGTAACATATATGAGAATAGGTCAGAGAGAGTGACATGTCTTGGTGAGCCACTTCCAAATCAATTTTGGCTTGCAGCCCTATGGCACAAGGTGGGTAAGAGAAAGTTGTTACAAAATGGGTTATGATGAAGTTTCAATAAGGCTTGGGTTTTATGAAAACAAAATAGACCTTCATCTCAAATCTTTGTCGAGAAACACTTTGGACAACGAAAATCTCCATGGCTCTAAATCAATTTTGTAACACAGACAATAAATTTTGAAGCTCAAAAAATAACACAGTTCTTGTTGATATACGAAAACTTATTTTTATCTCGAATTGGACAATATATACTATTTTTAGAGCTTGAATCCTATTTTTTTTCACAACCATAATGTTCAAGCGAAGATGATCGATTTAAAGGCTTTCAGTACTTAAATTGTAATTTTTGATGAGTTATGAGATGAGACTAGTTATTTTAATGGGGCTGCAGCCCTCTCAAAACATTTTCCCATGGAAAATTCACATGGACCCAAAATAATTTTCGAAATCAAAGAACATAGGGCTGGTAATGAACCTGGCCCTTGGCCGCAAATGTCGTGTGAGGGCTCAGGCAGCATGACCCCAAGGGGTAGGCTAGAGCGACGATATGGCCAGCAGGCCCAACCCTTAATCGTCCCCTTTTTCTTTCTTTTGAATGTATTAGATCTTCGACCTAGTTTTGGTTGGGCTTGGGACAATCCTATAGGGATGGGGGCTAGGCCAGGTCACTGTACCCCCGTTGCCAGCCTTAACAGAAAGTTTCATTTTCTTTTGTGTAATTCAGCAGAGAAGACATGCCCCTACTCATTTTTTTTCAAGAGTTAGTTTTTATAGAGGTATTAATGGGAATGAAAACCACAACACGGTGAGGTTAAAAAATTTTGAGTTTTGTACTTGTTTGCCCCCTGGTTGGACCAATATTCAAAACTACCCAAACGCTAAGTATGTTTTTTTATGTTTTGGGTGTGGGTCGAATGTGCAATTCTTGAACTGTTAAAAAACTTAAAACTTTCTTTTATTTTTAATGTTTTGGATATTCAAAATCAAAATTTCAAACCTTCTATGCACATTTGTTTATTTTTTTGGAGTTATTCAAAAGTCCAACTTCCAAACTTAGCGTAACATAGAGATAAAAATAAATAAATAATAAACTTCTCTATAAGATATCCCGAGATAGTTTTCTAATTCCAAAGTTTGTGTTGGGTCGCTGCATACGTTTCTTGGCGACCCTCTAGTGCAAGAAAGTGAACCATTGATTTACGAGGACTAGCTGATATCTCTTGATTATGGGCAGAAGATAGAGGAAGAGCTGGACCCTCTCTATTTGATCATGACCCAACTCTCTCTCTCTCTCCCCTCCATCTCTCGGATCATCACCCTACTATCTATCTCTAATTTAGGTGGAATACTTGATATTTTATTGAAGGATGAGATTTTTGGGACCTAGGACTCATATCTAGAATTGGGACCTTTTTATTATTCTTTTTAAGATAATTTTTTTATCTGATTTTTAAAGTATATATAATATTTAACATGGAGATCATAAATATGTAAAAAATAAATAAATTTTAAGAACTAAAGAATGATAATTTTATGAAAGAAATATTTAGAGTATGTTTAACTTTTTTGGAGAGACCGTCCATTTAATCTTTAAAAATGGATGGATGTCAAATGTAGGAATGTGTCAATGTTTCTTTATAAAATTAGGCAAGAAATAGGGGAGATGGACCCCCTACCCTATCTTTCTATCTCATTAGGGGTGGCAATTGGGTGAGCGTGATTGGCCCTAAAAAACTAGGGACGGGGCCACAAAATGTAGCTTGTGAGCTGGGCCTAGGCCAAGCCAAGACAAGCCCAACTCAACCGTTATTTTTCCAAAGCCCATAGTAAATTAAAATTTTGATTGTTTACCTCTTTATAACATAAAAAAAGTATAGGGAAAAATAATTGATACCTGCATTCTGTAGTTTCTGTCTCTTTAAAATATAAAAAAGTATAGGGAAAATAATTGATACCCAAATCTGTAGTTTCTAGACCATCCGCTCCTCCTGCGGGCCCCAATTGAAGTACACAAGCTCAGCTCGTTTTGAACCAAAATACCAGTTTTTTTTTTTGCCACGTTTTGACTTTCTCTCTCTAAGCTGGTCTAATACAAAATATGCCGGACCAACACAACTTTGTAGAGTTGCTTGATCACATTTTTGTGCTGGACCAACTCTATATTCAACTTGAACCGATCCAACACATTTTTGTGCCAAACTAATACAAGCCGGTCCAACAAACTTTTTGTGTCAGACTTGCTCATATATTCCACTTGTGTCAATCCGACACATTTTTGTGCTAGAGTTTGGGGGGGGGGGATTATTTAGTAATGTGGTTAAAAAATTTAACATTGGACTGGTTACAAAGAAAAACACCGTTGAGAGATAATAGTGCGATATCAAAAGTGTTGGGGTGAAGTGCTTAGAGATAGTAACGTGATATCAAAATTGTTGAGGTGAAAAATGCTTAGAAAGTACAAATTGAGGGTATTTATAATTTTTTCAAATTTATAAAACTGCCTCTATGATTTTTAAAATTAGGAAATATACCATGTATATATGTCAAACATTTTTTGAGTTTTTTTTTTTGTTGAAATATTCTAAATATAAATATGAGAACTTCACCAAAGGTAATCCGATAACATTGCTCTCTCTCTCTCTCTCTTGTGCATGTGCGTCACCTGTGCAAGAGATGGAGAAGATATAGAGAAAACCTATTTTAGGTGTCTATTATTTGTGGATTGCACACAGGTGCAGGCACGCAAAGACCGAGAGGCAAACTACTATTTGCCATTAAAATTAAAGACCGTGTATACTATGCTTTGCGTTTACGCCTTGGTCAGAACATGTACTTGAAGGATATCTTCAATATGAAAGTTTGGTACTAAAGAATTACTGAATGATTATTTCAAAAAAAAAATTGTAATTCGAGTTTTCTAACATTTGGATCTCACCATCTAAAAATTGGATGGTCTCTATTCGATCGCCCGACATTATTTTTTCAAGTGTATAGAGGGTACAATTAGTTTTTTTTTTTTAAGTTAATCTATTGTTGGAGAGGTTATATCCCCAAAATTTGGGGTCCCAAAATTGATTCTAAGTGGGGTTTTACTCAAGCAAATGGACATTCTACTCCTGCGGGGGAGTAGAATATTCTGGCAAAATAAAAAAATACATGACAATAAAATACTCCCCATTCGAAAATGAGGAAGAAACTAAACTTGTGAACACCGCAGACAATCATGAGAAGCAAAGCATAAACATATAGAAAAGCCAATGCATCAATATATACAAAAATACTAGTATGTGGTATCGAGGAATAGAAGAACAAACTTTGCTCATATACAAAAATACCAGGACAGGTGACCTACTTAGGAGCCTCTGTGCCAAAATTATAATATAACATACATAAATAAACAACTATAAAAAACAAGGACAAAATAAAGACCAGTACGATCGTGTTAACGAGGATAAACAGGAGGGATATTACCACTAACAAGGTCACTACCTGAAATATCATATGATGTGAAAACATTTCTTGTTTTAGTGGATGAGGAGGCTGAGTAGAGATCAATGGATCGAGATGCGAGGCTTTCAGATTCAGGCATATTTTGCCATATGCTTTCGAGCTCACGAACCACCACGGTCATGGTCGGTCGGCCGTCTGTGTGGTCGAGGCAGCATTGAAGAGCTAGCTTTGTGAATTGCTCAATGCATTCTAAAGGGCACGAATCCATTTGTCCGTCAATGATTGAGAGTAGCAATCCTGACCGATATGCATTGTTCACCTGGAATTGAGGACAGAAGAAGTTTCATTTTTCGGGACACTCTTTCTATCTCTCTCTACAGCTCCACACACATTTTCTTGGTCGATGTTGTTGTTGGAGTACTGCAATACTCCTTACTATATTATCGATATAATCAATGTCTCTATAGGATCCCTAGAATATGCCTCCCTAGTATCATCACAAGAACCTTCATTTTCTAGAATAATTTGGAGAAAATTCTCATTGATATTGTGCAATTTATCTCTTTATGATTTTCCTGCAACTTACCTATCTCTCTCTCTCTCTCTCTCTCTCTCTCACACCACGCACACACACACACATGTTCTTATCTATGTTGTTGTTAGTACTACTATGATAAAAATGGAGAAAACTTTCCTTGATATTGTGCAATTTATCTATTTATGATTTTCCTGCAACTTACCTCTCTCTCTCTCTCTCTCCATGCACACACACGTGTTCTTATCTATGTTGTTGTTTGTACTACTATGATAACAATGGAGAAAACTTTCCTTGATATTGTGCAATTTATCTGTTTATATTTTCCTGCAACTTACCTATCTATCTCTCTCTTTCTCCATGCGCACATATACATCCTTTCCCAAAAATAAAATACATAGAGAAGACTTTCCTTGATAATGTGCACAACTTACCTCTCATTTTTGTTTACGATTTTCCTGCAATAATTGTTACAATGAAACTCTTATGCTTAACTGTGATATGAGTTTACAAGGAAAATATAAGTTATATTTCTTTTAAATATAAGTAACAATAATACAAAACAATGTGTACAGAAAACTTATGAGACATAAGTTCATAACATTTCAAACATACAAAAACAATTCAAACATACAAGAATTCCCTCTTTTTTGTTTTTACTTTTTTATTTGTTTGATTTACTCCATTTTTTTTTTCTAAATTTCCTTTGTTTTCTGTTCAATACTTACGAAATTCGTGGGAAAAGCCAAAATTTGAAAACCTGTGACAAGATTTCCCGCTAACATAGTGAAGGAAAAAAACAAGATTTGAGTCAATTCATCTAAATTAATTACCCCCCCCCCCCCCCCACTATTAAAAAAAACAATGTTCTGTCTACATTCAGTTCCGAGCAATATTTATTTGCCATTTTCTTTTGATAACTGAAAATTTGATCAAGTAGAAATAGAAGTACCAGTAATCAACGCATGAAGTAAAATGACCAGGCCTTATAATACATAGCACATAGTAAATATTATAGAGGTAAAAAAAAATCTGAAATCCCAAAGAGCAATTCAAGGGAAGAATAAAGAAAATTAAGATGGGTAACAGTGGTCAACATGCTATACGAGAAATCATAGTGTTTATGTGAATGTGAAAGTAACCATATATGTATGTTACACTTTTCCCCGTGTAAATAACACAGTACACCTATGAGACTAACCTCTCGAACGATGTTTCTGCCTTGTGAAATTGGATGCATACCCGTCAAGAGCTCGAGAAACACGACTCCCAAACTATACACATCGCTTTTGTCCGTTAACTGATGTGTAAGGAAATATTCTGGGTCGAGGTAACCCTACCATAGAACCACAATAAATGTCATATCATCACACAACAATAAAAAGCTGAAAAAACTCATCAATCAGAAAGTAAACTCTGTAACAGCAAATCATTTGCCTGCCAATTGTAGATACCAGGCAACCTTAGCTAGCAAAAATAGAGAGCAAGCTTCATGTATGAAGAAAATATATTACTTAAGCAGAATACCCCTTACAAGCCATCATTTAACTTAAAACCCAGTTTCTTTGATTACAACACGGGAAATGTTACTATTCTAGAAAATGGCACTATCACGAATTACTAATCATAAAGATTTCCATGGAAAATATTTGAAACAATACTTGTCACACATGCATAGATCACACAAGTGATTGAGAAACTTAAGAAATCAGGATTGAAATTGGACCCATCATTTTTCTAATGACCATCCGACCCTGCATTTTTTCTCCCCGTCTTCAACTTGTGAGGTACATTCAACATGAGATCAGTTTAAGATAGTCATTTAGAAAATGATCATTCGAACTGCTGTTTTGATGTTTCAAGTTCTAGAATAAATGCAACTGTTCTAGGAACTGCCTAGATATTTTCCCAAAATTTAATGGTACCAAAAGAGAGTTATCACAATTAACCCGTACTGGAGTGCCTTTCACCACGGTGGAAACGTGATCTGGAATGGTTCCCTCAAGATCTGGAAGTGGGGCAAGCCTAGAAAGCCCAAAATCTGCAACTTTTGCAACAAATTTGGAGTCCAATAAAATATTGCTGGCTTTGATATCACGGTGAAAAATAGCTGGATTGGCATCATTGTGGAGGTATAGTATGCCACGAGCCGAGCCCAATGCTATGCGTAGCCTCATTGCAAAACTCAATGGTTCCTTTGACTTTCCTGTCAATGGGAGACATCCTCACTTAAAGCTCAAATGAATTGCAACAAGCCTTAAATATCATGAAAAGGCAAGAACAAGAAAAACAGCAATGGCAGCAACTATATCATGCTGTCAGAAAGTAGATATGGGAAAATCAGTCAGCAAATTAGTGACTCCCACCGACAACTAAAATATGCTATTACAAGAATGAAAGTGGGAAGATTACACAAGAAATTAGGGGCTCCCAACACTAAGAAAGGCATAGCAAAATGTAGAAAATATTTATTTAACCAATAAGATAAAAGAAATACCATAAAGATGATCACGCAGAGTACCATTTGGCATGAACTCATAAACCAGCATCTGCATCAAACAACATTAGATGAGTTGCAATTAAAGTACTCATACTCCAAAGATCCATTCAGAGCACATAGTAATTTTTGGTCGACTTGCTAGTCCCCTTCAAGTGTTTAACTTAGCCTTGTCTGCCTCAGTATATCCAGATGAGAAATGTCCAGTTAAAAACTTAATAAACTCCACACCAGAAAGAAATAAAAAACTGTGGCTTTGGAAAGAACCAATGGCAGCACCCAAAAGATAGGTACCTAGGATTGACCCCATAAAACAGTGTGACTGAAATGCAAACTTTCAATATAATCCTCTCTTTCAGAATAGTAAGCACTAGAGTAATTGATGAAATGCAGTTCAGCACTTACAAATACCAGCATCGTATTTCCAATAAACAGGTGAAAGTATTCGTGTGGAAATTTTGTAGAGTTTGAAACACAAACAATATGATTGAGTATCAATAAGACCATCTATTCATACCAGAAGGTCACAATCACCCTTGGTCACTAGATGTGAATCTGGCAGTTGGGGTGTGCTATTGACTGTTCTCGAAATCCAAAAAAATTTCTAGATCCCTATGACACCAGCCTAGCCACCTGATTTCACATCTGACAGCTATGAGCCTATGAGGGATTGTCACCTTCTTGGGCTAATATTGGATGGTCTTATATTATAAAATCATCATGAGAAATTTCAATTATTTATGCCATTGATAGCTGCAGTAGGAAGTTCTCTCAAATTGGCAGGAAAGCAATGCTCTTGTCAATAGGTTGGCTAATATGTTATGTTGGTAGTAGAGGTGTCATTGGAGGCTTTTTAATTTTTACATCCACTATGACTCTGTACTTTCATCATGTATTGCATTGTTGAATACTCTGACAGTGTGCCCGGACTCGCCTCGGATAGGTGACTTTGTCCTTGGATGAGGTGACTTGCTCAGCCGAGGGCCTTTTGGCTCTAAAAAAAAATTTAAAAAACAAAGAATTTTGTAGAAAAAAAAAATCTCATAGAAAATATAAATTGAAACCTAAAACAACTTTAAAAAGTTAAAAATAACTTAAACATGTAGAGAGAAAATGGACTTAACATAACCGATTTACAGTTTGAGACATTTTAAAAAATGTCACTAAAAGAGGAAATATAAAAATAGTGATTATGGCAAAACACACTCACCAATCTTTGCCAAATACATCCATATCATATACAATTTTTTTTTAAAAAACAACCCAACATTTTTTTAAATTGTTTTAATTTTTCTGATTTTTTTTATATCCCCGATGGTGCATCCAGCTCAGTCTGAGTGGACTTCGGGGAGTCATGGCACACTAATTGTAAATGAATTATCACTAATTAAAAAAAATGACTAATGTGATTTTTATAACAATACCTATATATTTCAAGAAGGAAATGATGAAAATGATTTTATTTAAACACTAAAAATATGAAATTTCAATGCACATGGACAGCACAAGAATCTAAGTCCTGCCAAGTGGATTACCTTGCATTTCAGACAAGTCCAGCACTCAAGCTGATGCATGTCTCAAAAAGCATGTCGTAATGTTTCCGGAGAAAAATATGGAAATTCCTACTGTCTGACAATTAAACTAAATAATCATACCTGTTCGCCTGCTCCATCACAATACCCAACAAGAGAGACCAAGTTACGGTGATGCAATCGTGACAGTAACTCAATTTCTGTTAAGAACTCTCTCTGGCCTTGCAGGGAACCTTCCTCAGCACGCTTTATAGCAACTACTGTTCCATCTGCTAGACAGCCTCTATAGACCTTCCCATAACCTCCTTGGCCAACTTGTGAGGAGTTGATAAAATTGTCTGTAGCCCGTGCCATCTCTCCAAATGTGAAGCCTTTGACTCCATCAATCTTGATAGGGATGCTCGACGCTGCAGGGCACGAAAGAGGAAAACCTTAGTGTAAAAGTTTCTTAAACATGCGGCATTTAACACTGCATCAATGTTACCTTTTCTGCTTTCCCATCAATTTTACGTTACAGTTAAATCAACCTCTGGTACATCTTGTCAAAGATTACAAGCATTTTAGGGCCTGAGCTGATCCATATCTTGATTGGCTATTCCATGCATTTGGGACCAGTGCCCTTGATTTGAATATTCTAGTTCAGGTGCAAATAAGTTGGAAATTGGACCCACATAAATACAGTATAGAAAAGGAGATTAAAACAAATCCTTTTTTTACTTTTCCAAATTCAAACTGGGTCAGATTTTATATTGTAACATGTGAAAGCACAAGAGAATTGGAAAATCCTTATACTGATTGGAAGCATGATGT